CCTTCCACTAGTACGGGACCGGATGGCCTCGCTTCGATAATTTTCAAAAACAGTGGGTGTGATATACCCTGTTACTTCTTAAATTCTTCTCAATATCTATGGACACTGGCACTTACCCTAGTGAGTGGAAAACTAGCTTCATAATTCCACATTACAAATCTGGTGATAGGGCAAACGTCCGCAATTACAGACCCATAAATATAACCCCAGTTATCTCACGAATCATGGAGAAAGTTGTAAAAGATCAATTGTCAGACTACCTAATTAGGGAAGATCTTGTTACAAGGTCTCAACACGGATTTCTCAAAAATAGATCCTGCGTTACTTGCCACTTCGACTTTTTCAACTGCATCACTAGTAGTCGCGAAGCACGTAAGCTAGTCGTTGTTCTCTACTTCGATATATCTAGGGCATTTGACATGGTATCTCACAGTATTCTCTTTGAGAAGCTGTACTCTTGTGGAATTCGCAACCCATTACTGAACTGGTTAAAATCATTTCTAAGCAACAGGGTACAAATAACCAAAGTTGGATCTGTATTGTCTCATCCTAGGCAGATCTCAAGTGGGGTCGTGCAAGGTAGTGTCCTAGGTCCACTTTTATTCACAGTCTACATTAACAGCATTTGCAAGTGCTTCACCTCAGGTAAACCATTCCTATATGCTGACGACCTCAAAGTCGTCTACTCCTGCTACACTCATGAATTAAGCGATATGGTTACTAAAATACATCTTGAACTAAGTAGCCTTGCAACGTGGTGTGCTGAATCCTGTCTAAATTTTAACATTGACAAATGCGGCTGGATTTGTATCGGCAACAGTAAGCTTGATCTAACTCTTGAAATAAATGGGCGAAAACTAGCTAAGCTCAACTCAGTCGTAGATCTCGGTATTAGATACTCTAGTAACCTAACGTTCGCTGAACAGACTGATTATGCCAGACGTAAAACGCGAAGGCTGATAGGATGCATAACACGCAATTTCTTTTGTTGTGAAACTAGGGTTTTATTATACAAAGTATGTGTCCGACCTATCTTAGAATACTGCCCGTTTATTCTTAGCGGACTCAGACAAAATGACAAGCTTAAATTAGAGGGAGTGCAACGGCAGTTTACCTCAAGAACTCTTGGTTTAGAAAGTGGTCTGGAATACCATGAGCGATGCGAAGACTAAGATTAGAACCCCTCTGGAAAAGACGCCTTAAGCTAAACCTTATCTTTTACTATAAGCTAACTAATCTTCTCTTGCATTCCTCCGAGCCAATAACTAAACCTACCGCTGTCATCAGTTACAATCTTAGAAATCATCACAACCTAGCTGCTATGGAGCACTGTCAGACTTACGTGCGGTACAACTTCTTCTTAAATAAGTTTTCAGTCATTTGGAATAGACTACCAGCTAATGTGCGCGATGCAAACACACTTCCAGTGTTCATCTCCTCAGTCACCAGACTACTCAAAGATGACAATGCACTTTTGCGCCTGACTCTTACACCTTCTTTTTCACCCTACATAGATATTTTAAGTTCTTTAAACGTGTAGTTACAACAAACTACAATTATAAATTTTAATATTATTGGAACTAGATGATTAACATTTCTACACAGGACAGTAATATTAGTTTACACATAATATAAAAGTTAGCATAACGGGACTAGTTAGTTTGTGTACCAAAATAACCACAGTTACTAAACAGAATATATATGTATATATTTATTAATCACTCCTTAAGGACTCCCGTTGCTTTCTTTTGCGTTGCTGTTGTTTGTCTTCTTTTTTCTCTCACCATTTCAGCTTCCATTTGACTTTTTGAATGAGAATGAATAATGTGGATATTTGACCATTTACAATGACAAATGATCTGCAAACATTATTGGTCCCGTATCTTTCAGTTGCCTGGTTAATAACGAATTAACTTTCTCCACGACGCAACCTGGATTACATTTGTGGAATATACTCTTATACCAATGGAAAAGTATCAATTTGTAATACAACGTCACGATTGTAGCTTATAACATAACTGATCGTATCTGTAAAAATAGCTTCCTTATTACCCAATTTGGATATAAATCAAATCAAAAATAAGATTCGGATTTGTACACACCCAAGTTATATTGAGGAATTACTTCAAGCTTTATTTTTTCCCAAGTATTTTTAATCCATCCAAAACTTACTTGGGTTTTTTTGTTAATGCGAAGTTAATATTCCTATATTTCATGATGTGCTCCATTGAATGACTGGTTATCATATTGTTCCCACAGACCTAAGACAAAAACGCCAGCAACCATGTAACTTAACCATAAACCAAATTTATGAAATTTATATAATGCTTATCCATGCCTGTATATTTGGTGTGTCCTACACAAGTAGGAAAAAATGTGTATTTTATTAAAACATTATTATTAATTATGATTGCTAATCGTATATGTAATTTATCATATTGATGATGCCTGTAAACTGGCGTCTCTCATGTACAAAATGAGAATATACTATTATTATTATTAAAAAAAACTCTGTATAACAACAAAGTACAAAATCAACAAGTAAACACAGTGAACCCAAAACGCCAATTGATATGACACACCACACATATATACAAACAGTACACATAACCTCGCAGGTCATTTCTTGATTCAATTCCTTTGAAGAATTGTAGGACTTACACCAGTACGCCTACAACCCTTCTCAGGTTGACACTCTAGGCTGGAAAATCGTCTTAGAGTTCATTTGCTGACTTCCCTCTATCAGCTATATCCTCAAATCTGAACGGTAACACGCTCATGTCATTGTATCGTAGAATATAGATGACGAACAAACACACGACATATCTGATCAACCAAGTGTAGAAACAGAGTAATTTACACCAAAGATAATAGCATTCAAATAGCAACTTGGAACTTGAAAGGGCTTTATTCGTGCAAGTTATTTTAACAATTACCCTCTCATACACATTTGGCTTATCCTCACTAAACTGACCATCGACTTTCGTCCTTTCTAGCGGACCGATGCTAGCACGGTCACATCACGAGAAACCTGAGTTCATGGACGTCCCTTTCATTGTGGATGACAACACTAAAGGCGACCGAGTGATACAAGTTGGCGGACCTAGCGGTTGTCAGTCACGTCTTGTAAACCGTTAATGCCCAGCTCTTGCTACGCTGGGCCACACGCTGTCCCTCGAAGCTTCTCAGAAACGCTTAGTACGAACGGACGCAAAAACCAGAACACAGATTGGCGACTCAAAAATTCTTTATTCAAACACCAACATATAGCCAACATTACAACTAAGGTTTCTGACGGCTTTGTCCTGACTTCCTTCTGAACAGCGACCGGTGAGAAGATGACTGGCCGATTGACGCTTCCACGAAAATGGGGAAGTTGGGTTTGAGCAACCAACCATGAATTGGTCTTTCAATCGTCAACTACATTGACAGCGGTGTATCAGAAGCTGTTGTTGATCGACCTTTAGAATGCTGTCTAACTGTACTATTACCACCACTGCTATCGTTTATAAATAAATAAATAAATTTATTCACATGATGCAGTACATGAGGGACGCCAGTTTACAGATATCATCAAATTGTTACAGAAATAGGACCATATTTTTCAGTCATATTTTACAGTCGATAGCAAACTATGTTCAACATGTACACTGGAGATTACACACACACTTGATAAATGTTATTCGTAATAGTATAAAACATCCTTTTCACTTATGTACAATCGATTGTGTGCATAGTTGGAAAAATCCGCTAGATTGTCAGTGAGTGCAACACATCAGGAAATAGAGAAGTTGTCAGCCACGTCTCGTAAACCGTTAATGCCAAGCTCTTGCTACGCTCGGGCTCACGCTGTCCCGTGAAGTATCTCAGAAACGCTTAGTAAAAACGGACGAAAAAATCAAAACACCAATTGTTGACTCGAGGATTCTTTATTGTTACACCAACATATAAATCACATATGACTAAGGTTTCTGTCGGTGATTTACCCTTCTTTCTGAACAGCGACCGATGAGACGGTGACTGTCGTATTGATGCCTCAACGAAAATTGGAGAAGTTAGTTTTGAGCAAACAACCATGAATTGATTGTTCAATCTTCAACTACTTTGACAGCAGTATTGTCTTCGCATTAACAAAAGAAACCAGGTCATTCGTGGATGGGTTATAAGTACCTGGGAAAAAAATAAAGCTTGAAGTCAATTTTCATACATAATATTTTGTGTGTAGAATCCTTGAATTATAGTTTATTGATGTGTTATTTTGAAATACGTGATATGTTTATCTCATTTGATCTGCAATGTCTTTGTTGGGAGTAAAATACACAAGCTTTAGACGCATTAATTAATGGATTTCTACTGCTTGTGGGCATTTTCCTCTCGTGAGGAAGGTTTATGAATTTCAGTTGTTCCGACAGCAGTTGTGAATATTGACTGCTCAGCAAAATTATGGATATAAGTACATCACATTATCTTACGAAAGTTGAGGTGTAGTTGGTGAGGTATATATGATGCCCGACGAGCGTACATCTGTCCATGTGATGTTGTGGTGAGTTATACCTTTTTCATGTTGTCGGTTTATGTCCGTTTTATTCCGCTTATTGTGTTGGGTAGAAGTTTTACAAACGAAACTTCTTGTCTGTTTGAGGGTAAGTATCTTAATCGTTAATGTTTTATCTAAAATTATAAATATAGGCAAAAAACAACAGGTGTAGTATTTGAGCGTATACATTAAATGGACCTATAATTTCGGAGGCTCGCAGATAGAAACTAATAATAATAATAATTTTTCATATAAACATAAATTTACATGAAAATGCATGCCATTTTTACAGGCACGATCAAGGATGATATAATGTCAAATCTTAAATTGGCTACAAGTTAATAATGTTTCAACAGTTAAATATTTGATATATATAAATACACATTGTCTGAACTAGGCTGTATAGTTATTGAATTGTACAATTGTCCTCCAGGTTTCGCGGGAAAATCGACTTCGTTTCGTTTTCATCCCGTGGTTGTAGGCATACGATAATCAACCAATATTGAGGTAAGTACAACGTTTACAAGGAATTGGAAGCTGTTTTAGAAAAATTAAAACAGCTACTGTCGTTTGCAAACTCGTGTAGTTTGTAGTTAAGCACTTTTTTGAATGAGGCCAATGTACCTGCTTGACGCATTTCCATTGGTAGTTTATCCCATATCTGTGCATACCTAATCAAATAAAGCTTTTGCCTGGTAGCTGTTTTACATTGTTCGATAGCTACTGTACCCTTAGTGTGTCTTAGTTTGTAGCCACTGTCATCTGAGAGTCGAATGCCATTAGTAGAGGTAAAAACTAAGTGGTTTAGAAGCTTATAGTAAAGTGTTAAGTTTAGTCTCAGGCGTCTTAGCCATAGTGTTTCTAATCCTAGGGTGTCACATCTAGTGGAGTAGTTCGCACCATTTTCGGTTCCAAGTAATTTTGACGTGAAGTACCTCCGCACTCCCTCGACTTTCAATTTGTCCTCTATGCGTATACTACTATACATGAATGAACAGTAATCAAATAAAGGACGCACACAAACCTTGTACAACAGAATTCTGGACTCATTTCTGTAAAAGTTCCTGAGTAGAAAGCCGATAAGTCTGCGTGACTTTGACACTTGTTTGGAGATATGTTCAGAAAATGATAAGTCATGTGAGTATTTCAGTCCTAGGTCCAATACAGATTCCAGTCGTAAGAGTGCATGGCCTTGAATTGTCAGGTCAAGTTCTAAATTGTTGCAACCCATGCAGAGCCAGCCACATTTGTCGACATTAAACTGGAGTTGCCAGGTGTCACACCATCTGTCCATTTTTTCTAATTCTTGCTGTATGGCGTTTACTGTTATTCCGAGATCTGTGTTCTTGCATTTATAGGTCACTTTTAAGTCATCTGCATATAGTATTGGTTTACCAACACTAAAGCATTCACAGATACTGTTTATATATATTATGAATAGGAGTGGGCCTAATACACTTCCCTGGATTACACCACTACTTACTGGTTTAGGCCTTGAGTTTATCGAGCCAACTTTTGTTATCTGATTCCTGTCACAGAGAAATGATTTTATCCAGCTCAGGAGAGGGTCACATATCCCTAGTGAGCATAACCTGTTGACTAGCAGATTATGGGGGACTCTATCGAAGGCTTTTGTTATATCGAAATATAGCACAATTACTAGTTCTCTGTTGTCCCTGCTTCGTGTAACTTCGTTGAAAAAGTCTATGTGACAGGTCGCACATGATCTCTTTTTGAGGAATCCGTGTTGTGATGGATTGATAAGTTCATGTTCTAGTAAGTTGTCTGACACTTGGTCTTTAACCACTTTTCCCATTATTCGTGATATTACCGGTGTTATATTAATAGGTCTATAGTTGCATGCACTGGTTTTGGCCCCTGCTTTGTGCTTAGGTAATATGTATGTGGTTTTCCACACTTCAGGATAAGTTCCAGTTTCCAGTGACAGAGTAAATATTCTAAGTAACAAGACTACCATTTCCGTGCTACCATTTTTGTATATGACAGATGGTATGTCGTCTGTTCCAGTACTGCCATTTGACTTCAATGTCTTAATCGCTGAGTCTATATTTTGTATATTAAAATCTATTTCTCCTAATTTGTGGTTACTTTTGCAGGTCATTTGGAAATTTGGGGTCGGGTGCACTCTGGTGTCATTGCAAAACCACTCACTGAGGAGTTCACTTATAACCTGGGGATCGTTGTATATTATACCCCTATGTTCCAAGATGCTTACATTATTGTCTTTACTGCTTTTTAGACGTTTTTGCAATATCCTACAAAGTTCCTGAGTTTTGGTGTTACCCATTAGCGCTTTATTTTCCTCATGTTGTGACTTCATTTTGTGTTTCTCTTCAAGCAGTTTAAGAGTTTCATGTATTTGGTTTAACGCATTAAATTCCTTAAATACATGGTATTTCCTTTTCAATTTCTTTAGTTTTAGTCGCGTTTTCCGGTCAATAAATGGAGTTGGTGTCTTTAGGGCAGATTTTAGGGGCGCGATTGTGTCTCTTGCTGAGCCAACTGTTTTGTAGAAAATCTCAAGTGATACTTCTAAGTCATTGTTGATGAAGTATTCTTCCCAGTCAGAACTTCTCAACAGATCTGATAGGAATTCCCAATCAACATTCTTATAGTCCCTATATTGATAGCGCACCGGGGAATTTTTAGGTGTGTATTTAGTTGTTAGTCGGAGGGGTAGCGTGCAGTACAATATGTTGTGATCACTGTTATCGAGTTTATTTCCCACCTCTATCGAGATGGGCTCTATGTTATGACAGAGGATTAAGTCAAGAGTATTTTGGTTCCTTGTAGGGAGGCGCACGCACTGCTTCCATCCTCCTATGTCTATAGCTTGTAGTAGCTCTTCATGGATTCTTGGTCCTGTACAGGTATCCCAGTTTACTCCAGGTAAGTTGAAATCTCCACATACTACTTTGTAGTCGAAGTCCAGCGCGGCTACATGCTCTAGTATTTCTGCAATAGTTATATCAGTCATTTCAGGGCTATTGGGGGGTCTGTATATACATCCCACGAGAATTTTACTTTCGTTTGTGTGGATGCTTATCCACCTAGATTCTGGGAGTTTGTCAGTATTTGGGTTATTGAAAGTATTGGAGTTAGTGGATTTAGAGGGATATATTAGGCAACCGCCTCCTCTTTTGTCGACTCTATCGTTCCTATAGATGTCGTAGTTGTCTATTACTAGCTTTGTGTCAGGTATATCAGTGGTAAGCCAGGCTTCAGTCACCATTATTAGTGTTGGCCGTTCTTTAATTTTTCTAAAACAGCTTCCAATTCCTTGTAAACGTTGTACTTACCTCAATATTGGTTGATTATCGTATGCCTACAACCACGGATGAACGAAACCAAGTCGATTTTCCGCGAAACCTAGAGGACAATTGTACAATTCAATAACTATACAGCCTAGTTCAGACAATGTGTATATATAATCAAATATTTAACTGTTGAAACATTATTAATGTAGACAATTTAAGATTGACATATATCATCCTTGAACGTGCTGTAAAAATGGCATGCATTTTCATGTAAATTTGTTTATATGAAATAAATTATATTATTATATTATGTATGCCAGGCAGCGAAGCGTTGTTATTTTATTAAGGAGAGATCTAGCATTCAGGAGCATAATTGTTGGCAAACCAGAGTTGTTGGAGGAGAGGTTAACATGGTTACTTGTTACTATCCCTACGTTATGTTTGGAAGGGCTCTGAGGTGAGACAGAGTCAGTGTGTGTATCATTTCCTGGATGAACTGTGCAGCGAGTGGGGCTATTGTTTGCTGCAGCCGAAAATAATCCTGTTGCATATTTTGACTATTAGCACCCATGGGTCGGCATCTGCGTTCATCTACTGGTGATATATGGTTTGCCTTGCAATTTGCGTTGTAGTTTGCTGGACCTAGGTACCCTGTGTTAAGATTACCTTGGTAGTTGTACCTCATGGGGCTTTCATAGCCGTATGCATATTGGCTCACATCACGTGTGTGAGTGAAGTTATTGAGGGGATCAAGTGTCGACCTATACTGATTATGTTGATGAGGTTTAACATAGATAGTGCGAGAGTCTGGACGAGAATTTTCACTAATATGGTGCCTATATGAGTCCCGTTTAGTGCTCCATATATCCTGAGGATCCATTCTACGTTGCATTCCCAAATTATGCGCGTTGCTAGGCATGTTACTTCTAGTTCGGGAAGGGGTATTCTTACTCAAACGCTGCGTGACGTCTTTGGGAATGTGCTTCGTTACCCATGCTTTGTCATTTTTTAGACTGACACGCTGCTTATTAGACTTAATACGAGGGAGGTATGTATGTCGAAGTCTGGTTGGGACTCCGGGTTTTGTGGTCTCTTTTGCGGTTTCTACTGAGGGACTCTCTGGCTTGGATCCAGATTGAGAGTGGTCTGCCAGTAGTTTCTGGTCAGCCATAGTTTGTGCGTCTATGTCAACCTCATGTAGGTCAGCAGGTTTTCGAGATGTGCTCTCGTGCACTCTAAGACTGCACCCAGTGGCACTGCTCTTACTGAGTTTTGGGTCGCTCTTACTTGCCGTTTTTTCTCCTAACACTATACACGTGACTTGCTGTGCTTCAGTGTCCGTCGACACTTTAGCACTGATACCAGATGTATTTCTCAGTGTTGTCAACTTTGTATCGAAGGAGTTCTTGGTTGCTTGCCTTTGGTTTGGTATTTTATCCGAGACTACTTTAATAGTCTTGAATTTAATGGCAGTAGCCAGAAGATCTTCGGCCATCTTAAATCGTTCAGCCGTTATGTAGCTGTCGAACCTAAAGAGTATAGGACAAGGATGCTTTAGGTCTTTTTTGCTTAGGCGAATGCACTGACAAGGTGCATTCAAGAGATTTACAGCCTTCAGCAATGAGTGCTGGACTGACTTTATGGGCTCGCTATCCGGTACATTATACACTATTGCGTTTTGTTTTGAAACCAGCCTTCTAACAACTTCGCTGGATAGAAAGTCGATGGCGTTTTCTAACTCCTTCGCACTTTCTGAGTCAGTATGAGTCATTCTAGAGGTCATATTAAAAAGCTTTAGGATTGTAGGATCCTGCAGTTCCTTTTTCATACGTGAGATAGTTTCGGGTATACATTCTAGTGAACTTAATTTCGTTTTTAATTCATCTATCTGTAGCTGCATCTCTTTAATTACGCACGTTAGGTAAGAGAGCTCTACGTTTTCAGACAGAACATCTCCCACCTGTATTACAGTGGTCAGAGTTATGTTCGAGGCTTTTATGTTGGGTGAACTACTAATAATATGGGATGGTAATGTGTTATTAGACGAGCTGGTGCTATTTCCTGAATTAGTGGTGTTCACACGAACACGCTTTTTAGAATTTTGAACCATCGTTATTAAAGATCAATTATTAGTAACCAATAAATGAATATAAACGAAAACACGTGCAAAAGCGTCACCTGATTCGAACGTACCGGGCGAACATTGATTATCTCCGGTTTAACACTAGCATCTGTTGGTAGGTGGGCTACACGCTGATGATTTACACTGAGGGTCTCACGAGTGTTCATACCCTCAGAAACTGCATCTGCCTTTAATTCTACTTCCCGTTCACAATGTAGAGAACCTCTGTTCAACTTAGTAGAAGTAGGCTGTCAGCCACGTCTCGTAAACCGTTAATGCCAAGCTCTTGCTACGCTCGGGATCACGCTGTCCCGTGAAGTATCTCAGAAACGCTTATTAAAAACGGACGAAAAAACCAAAACACCAATTGTTGACTCGAGGATTCTTTATTGTTACACCAACATATAAACAATGTTACAACTAAGGATCCTCGAGTCAACAATTGGTGTTTTGGTTTTTTCGTCCGTCATTACTAAGCGTTTCTGAGAAAATTCAAGCGACAGCGTGATCCCGAGCGTAGCAAGAGCTGGGCATTAACGGTTTACGAGACGTGACTGACAGTTTCTGACGGTGGAAACAGATTCTGGCGGATTCAGACAGTTGGTGAAAGTTTGGCTAGTCACCGTTCATCTTTCCTGGTGCCGGTCAAGTCCTATTTGAACAAGCAATATCTGGAACCTTCTTGGAATTGGGTCAAGTTCAACAATGCCTGGGTCAAAGAAGGGACAGAGTGTCTTGGATGCAAACAGGAAAGTAAGTCATGTTGACTTGTCTGTTAATTGTAACGATGTGTCTGATGTTAAGCATGACATGGTTGATGTTACTGTTTCGCCGTTCAGTGATAATGGGAATATCAAACTCCCTAAATTTGAACCACGTTGTTTCGATGGAAACCCGGCTGATTATTTACAATTTGTAACGGAGTTTGAGATCATGCTGAGTAGTTTTTATTAAGTGATGAATTGAAATTGATGTATTTGACGAGGTATTGCACTGGAGATGCTTCAAGAGCTATACAGTGCTGTAAGCTCATGCCCCCTAATGAGGGATACGCTGAGGCTATTAGCATATTACGTCAAAGGTTTGAAAGACCTTCAATGATTGTAAGGAACGTATACGTAGCTGTGAAAGGTAAGGCAGTCAACTTCAAGATGACTCCAAGGCGCTTACTGAGTTTTTAGATAATTTGCTAATTTACAAGAATGCAATGATTTCGATGAATCGCATGAGTGACCTCAACTCGAGTTTAATACTAGAAGTAATAGCAAGACGCCTACCTACTCGACTGCAAAGGAAGTGGGTGAAGATGAGCTCCCGTATGGAGGATGAGGGTATCGAGCCAAGGTTTGATGATATTCTGAGACTGGTGAAGGATAGTGTCAACCAGGCGATGGTCAAATTCGCCAGCATTTTGCATTCTAAGGTAGAACCTAAGGAACCAGTGAATATAAGGAAAGCATTTGTGGTGAAGTCTCAAGACACAACGAGAAAGGATGAGTGTATTGTTTGCCATAACATGCATCAATTGAGTGATTGTAATCGCTTTATCGCTATGTCACCCGTAGAAAGGTTAAAAATGGCAAAGCAGAAGCGGCTGTGTTTCAGTGGTTTAAAGATTGGGCATATAAAGTGGAATTGTAAGGCGACAAACAAGGAAAGTAGTCGTTTAACGGATATGCACCAACTTCTGAGGACAGCAAACGAACCTGGGAATTCGGTTAACTGTAATAGTATCTCTAGACCCCTTGACACCCCACAAGTTTTCTTAGGGGTATTACCAGTTAAGGTGAAAGGACCGAAATCTTCAGTAGAGACTTATGCATTGTTGGATGATGGTTCAGACGTTACATTGATAGATGCTAAGCTGGCTGGTTGCTTGGGTATTAAAGGCCCAAAGCAACCCTTGGTTGTAAATACTTTCAATTCTGCGAAAATAGTAGTATGTGAACGAGTGTCATTT